ACAGCAATTTGGCCTTTGTGAATGATGCCAGTGACATCAGAGGTGTTTGGGGCAAGTAACCTTAGCTTGAGTAGGGTGTCTGACCTTTGCTTGGATGGCAGATGATATCAGTATCAAGAATGGCAACTTAGATTTGCTCAGTTTCGTTGCGTAGCTAGCTGGTGATTCTTTACCACTACCACGAAGTCACTTTCTCAAGAAAAAGCAGATGTTGGCATTAATGTAAAGTACCAGATGTTGCCATCATGACATGAACAATACTGAAATGTCTCTTCAAATAGAAAAATCCCTAACATAAAACTTCTTGAAAATCCAATTAGCTCTTTCTTTTCAGCTTCTTATAAATGGACAGATGAATAGGTAAAGTGAAGCTAAAAGGTAAATTTCTATAGCCTTCAGTTTCAAATGTGCTTAAAAACAAATCAGGGAAAAGTCCATATTATGTGGGTTCCTAGTAACTACATCACAGAACGTCTTCTGGCTGTGGATTAAAGAGGAGACCTCGTGATGTGGGGGTAACTATTTCATTCTAAATACAACATTCTCTGTCAAGGTTAATTCAATACATCCATGGAAATATTTTGGATCATCACTAAAGATTCTTATGTAATCAGTCAACAATGAGCAGACATTCTACATTTTCGAGGTACTGGAAAAAAATCAGGAGTATAATGAAGGACATATCAGCTATTAATAGCCTTCAAGAAAGCCTAGGATTCAGTTAGGAGGGAAGCATTATGCAAGTATAAGGTTCAGTTCATCATCTACCTCCCCAATAAAATATTACCAATCAGACCATAAAATCCAGTTGCTTATGAATAATATAATGTAATATTTCACATTAATATAATATTGCTGTAGCAGGTAACTTCTCTTTCAAAAGAACACAATATCAAAATATAAGGTTAACTCAATTTTGTATATTTTTCTAAGTTTCTATCAATGTAGTTTTCTAATTAAATATAATAATATAACCAAAATAAAGAATGATTGGATTATGCAAGGATTAAAGACATCTTGCAAATGAATAAGGATTCATATCTATAGCAGAAACAGTTATCACTGAAAATCAAGAGCATTCCATATTAAGTATTGTAAAATTCTGAATTATGTTATAAAACAGGCTAAAAAGCAGTTTTACAGTAGACTAATAACAAAATCTGGTAATAAAATAAAAATAACATGGTACATTATTAATATTGAGAGGTGTAAGATACATTTAACAGAAGTCCTATTATTTCAGAAGAATGTGAGGTTAGGTTTTATACAATAGGTTATGTCATCACATGCACACTGGTCCAAGAAATATCTGGCTTCAGGAAAGGTGCGTCCACTGAAGATACAGCCTACAAACTGACAGACAGCCAAAAAATGCTGGTTAGAAGGATAGACTGTGATTTAGCAAAAAATTCCAACTGTGTAAATTATTAAATTTTGTTAACTAAATTACATTATGATGGCATTCGAGGAATAGCTGAAAAATGGCTCAGATCCCAATTAAGAGAGAGAGAAAAC